CAACACTAGAAGGTTAAGCCAATGGTTTCCATTGAAATGCTCAGAGCCTAACTGCATTGGTTTCCTAGGGCCAAGTTAACAAACAAGTACAAACCGTGTGGCTTATGAGAATGGAAATGAAATGTCTCATGGTTCTGAAAACTGCAAGACTGAAACCAGGGTATCAACCTTGCTGACCACTTCTGATGGCTTTGAGGGAGATGTGATTTCATGTCTCTTTCCAGCTCCTGGTGATAGACAACCATCCTTGTTGTCCACTGGCATGTAGATGCATCGGTCCAGTGTCGGCCTCCATCCTCATGTGCCTGCCAACCATGTGTGTCTCAGTGTCTGTGTCTCTTTTCTAAGGGCACCAGTCAGAGAATTAGGCCCCACGCTACTCCAATAGGACCTCATAACTAAAAACATCTTCAAAGTTCTCAAAGAAGGTCATGCTCACAGGCACCTGGAGTTAGGACTTCAACGTATCTTTGGGGGGCTCGATTCAATCCATAAGAAATATCCCTGCTCCCCGAGAAGCGCATGGCCAAATAGGGCCATTGACAAGTGTCCAGCCATGGCAGTGCAGACCATGGTCTGCTCAGAGGATTTCCTAGACAGAAAGCCCTGTGTGTGCAACCACCCAGAGACCATGAAGCAGGGACCCTTCCACTGGGCTGTGACTGCTCAGCAAGGAGAGAGGAGGCAGGAAGAGGAGGCATTACTGTATTCAAATGCTTGTTTGGGCTTTGACCATCCCAGAGTTGAGAAACTCTGGAAAAGTTGCTTCAGACTTTCAGCCCCATTTCCTCATCTGCAAATGGAGCCTGAGGCACCATCCTACAGAGGGCACCAGAGCACACAGCCTGCAATGGATGCCCAGTGCTCTGGGTCCCTCAGACTACTCACCTCCGCTCCTGGAGCCCCATGGGCCCCTTCCACACTCACCCCACTGAAGCCAGCCCATGGCCACAGGGGTGACTAGCTCAGGGTAAGACCATGTCAAGACCCTCCACAGCCACCCCTCATCAATTTGCAACCCTTCAGCCCTCCATCCCTTGAGGAAACCAAGTTTTTGCCACTTGGGGGAACCTCCAGGCCTTGAGACAATACACATACAGACTTTATGCCATCATGGTGTGGCACTGTGGGTTAATGTGCCAGACTGCAAAGCCATTTGAACTACAAGGTTGGTGGTTCAAGCTCACTAGCTGCTCCTCAGAAACCCTATACAGGGTCGCTATGGGTCAGAACCGACTCGATGGCACTTCACAACAACAACAACAAACCAGGTATGCAGCAAGGGTCAAACGACATCTGTGTTGAATTATAAATTTGCTGTTGTTTTGAGGCACCCTTGAGTCGGTTCTGACTCATAGCAACTCTATGAAAAACAAAAATACACAACACTGCTTAATCTAGCAGCATTCCCACCCTCACTGCTATATTTGAGCCCATTGTTGCAGAATGTCCTTGTCCCGGGACTGGCCCTTCCTGATAACAAGTCCAAAGTACAAGAGACGAAGTCACTCTCCTCACTTCTAAGGAGCATTCTGGCTGAACTGCTTCCAACAGATTAGGACGTTTCTCTGGAAGTCCACAGTATATTTACTCTGCTTCGCCAACACCATAACTCATATACATTCACTCCTCCTAGGTCTTCCTTACTCACTGTCCTGCTTTCACACACATATGAGGCAACTAAAAATACCATGATGGTTGGCTGAGGCTCATCTTTGTCCTCAAACATGGAGAGATGTGATTTCCCTTCCCAGAAATCCCTTCCTAGAGAGGCAGATCTAACTTACCTGGATCTGTTGTTGTGGAAAATCTCCTTGAAGAGGACAACGCACCAATCAGGTGTCTTTTCAGAACAAAGAGCCTGTCTGGAGGCAGACAGCTTTGGGGAAGCTTAGAAAGATGGGCCACCACCCCCGAGCAGCTTGTGAACAGAGGAGACAGAGAGCCAGGCGTGGGAGTGGATGCCTTAGAAGTACTAAGGTGATAAGTTCTGGAGAGACGTCCTCCTAGACCCCACATCACTTTCCGGTTACTTCAGTGCTGTCGCTTGTTTGATGTAACCCCACGTGGAGATAGGTTCCAACAGTCAGCACCGCATGGGGGTGAGGGGGAGATGGATACTAGAGTTCACACCTCCCTGAGCAAGTCACCTGGGTGCTAACTCTCCCACATGTGTGACGCTCTTCCTCTCTGACCACTTGCCCTCCTTCTGACCCACCACACTTGTCACTCCCATAGACTTTGTCACCAAACTCCACTGGCCAATTCCAACTTCACTGGGGGGCAGGAGGGGCCACAGGGGAGGAACTGGAAAGAAAATATTTGAGTTGTTTACTATCTCAGTAAGAATTATGTTGAATGAACTGATTTATTTTGATACTATAAAGTCTTGAACCAAAATGTGATTAAGAAACTAGCAAGTTACTGGTGGCACAACAGTAGCGTATTCAGGTGCTAACCAACAGGTTGGCGGTTCAAACCCACCCAGCAACTCTGTAGGAGAAAGATTTGGCGATCTGTTCCCCTGATGCACACAGCCAAGAACACCCTATGGGGCTGTTTATTCTGTAACATGGGGTCACTCTGAGTCAGACTGAGAGCACCTAAGAAGAAGAACAACACATATGTGAGGGGCCCTTGGTGGCTTTCCATTCAGGGAACTGGGCTCTGTTCCCACCCAATGTAAGTTGCCCACAGCCACCTCCCGCATGTCCCTGGACGCTGGTATGTTGCTGTAAGGTGAACAGGCTTCACTGATGCTTCCAGACTAAAATGAACTAAGAAGAATCTGCTTCTGAAAATCAGCCCCTGACAATCCTCTGAATCATAATGCACACCCAAGGGTGGTGATAATGGCGTGGGAGCAGGCATGTCATACTGGAGTCACCGTGAGTTGGGACTAGCTCCACGGCAGCTAACAGCAATCCTAACCATTCATGAGCATCAACGTTTGTGATGACACCAGGGAGGGATGCATCTCCTCAGAACCATCACCCATCTAAGATCAACAGGAATGCGTTTGACCTAGAATCGAGCTCAGAAAGCAGGAAAGGGTAGGAGGAGAGGAGGGGGAGTAAAACACAAGGAAGAGCACTGTTATGTGGAAGGGACTGCGGTCACCATCACAGAGAAAAACGTGCACGGATTACTGAATGGAAAATCAGTTTGTCTGTAAACGTTCACCCAAACCACAAAAAGTGAAAAATAAAAAAAGAAAGAGTACACAGTTGTGACATTGCCTATCTTCTGCAAGGGAAGCAAGTTTGGGGGTCAGTTCTTGGCAAATGAGAGAAACTCTCAGGCCACCTCTGGGCATCACCGGGTCTGGTCCTATGGAGCCTCCCACAGGGGAGCCAGGTCACCCAAACGTCCTTGGGGCTACTTCAATCCTCAGGACACACAGCCAGGAATCAAGGGCCACAGCAGCAGAGACCGCAAGAAAGAGAAGCCTCACCTATCTTATAGTTGTGGTTGGGTGCCATCCAGTTGGGTCCAACTCATAGTGACCCTGTATGCAACAGAACAAACAACTGCCTGTTTCTGTGCCATCCTCACAATTGTTACGTTTGACCTCGTTGTTGCTGCCACGGTGTCAGTCCATGTCTTTGAGGGTCTTCCTCTTGTTCGTTGACCCGCCATTTTATCAAGAATGATGTCCTTCTCCAGGGACTGATCTCTCCTAATAACATGTCCAAAGTACAATAGAAGACTCACCTTCTTCTCTTCCAAGGAGCAACTGGCTGTGTTTCTTCCAAAACAGATGTTTCTTTCTTTTGGCAGTCCAGGGTGTATTCAGTATTTTTCACCAGGACCATGGTTTAAATGCATGGATTCTTGCCCATCTTCTTTATTCACATGCATATGAGGTGAATGAAAAGACCATGCATGGCTTGAGTCAGGTGAGCCTTGGTCCTCTAAGTGACAACTTTGCTTCTTAAGATTTTAAAGAGGGCGTTTGCAGCAGATTTGTCCAATGCAATGTGCTGTTTGTTTTCTTGATTATTCTTCCATGGGTGTTCATTGATGATCCCAGTAGAATGAAATTATTGACAATTTCCTTTTTGTCAAAATCACTTTATGGCTAACAGCCTACTTCCTTCATTTGGTGGTTACAAATGTATTGTTGTTGTTGTTAAGTGTTGTGAGGTGGTTCCAACTCTGTATAGTGTTTCCAAGGAGTGGCTGGTGGGTTGGAACCTCTGACCTTGTGGTTAGCAGTCCAGTGCTTATCCTACCATGCCACACCCTGAGTCCAGAAGTAAATATAGTTATTCATAAGGAGCAACTAAGTATTTCATAAATTTTTATTTCCTCTGTGTTTAAGAATCTTGTTACCAAATTTTAAACACAATACATTGTAGTTTGGATTTGTTTTTCATTGAAATACAACAAAATGTTTAACGAGCAAATTTGTCTCAGCAAACATGAAACTGGCAGAGGAAGTTTCATGGTTGTTATTCATTAAGTTAGAATCAATTGAAGTCATTGTTACAAGTTAGTCTCTAAACCTGGACAAACAAGGAAAAATGCATGCTGTTTAAGGCTAGGGTATCTCCAGCCCAGGCAAATAGCCCAGGGGAAGAATACGTCAAATCAAAGGTATGTATGTGCTAATGTCTGCCCTTGCTGGGCAGAGAGCTATTTCTGAGATGGATAGATGTGTTGTCTCTAAGAATCCACAACCACACAATCACAAGGTGGTAGCTGAGCACTGTGGCATCTCAGGTCATGTGACTATGGTTGTATCAAGTAACCATTGTCATGGCAGAACCCACAGAAGTTATAAATACACTACCATAGAGCCCCAACTGGATGGCAACTGACTAATGCCAACAGAAACAGCGTGTGTTTTAATACGGTCATCTTTCTCCTTCCTGAAGAACTTCTCCAAAATTGGTTGCCTTGCAATGGGGAGTTGGCTTGAGCCAGCTACAGGGAAACTGCAGATCTTTCAAAAGATGGGCAAAGAGCCCGGGGCCCCAGTATTTGAGTACCATGAGGCCTTGGTCCGCGGAGATCTGGATCATCTGAAGCCCCTCATGGACCAGTTCCAGAATGCCAACTTGGCACTTGAGATCCATACAGATGAGATGGAATGGCAGGTGAAGTCCCCAGCCACCTTTGGACTGTCAGGTACCCTTGCTCCTCCCATAGCTCAGCTGTGTGCTTTCAAGAAGCTACTAACACTCTAGGTACTGTGTTTACACACACCAGGCAAGGAAGCTAGGGATGAGTGTGGGTTGGCGGGCATCCTAAGTTGTAGGCTTCAGGTGAAGGGATGCGAGTGACGAATGGGGAAAGGCAGAACTGTTGGTGAGAATGCCCATCCCACATGGGGAGTGACTGTTCTCTTTGAAAGACAATGCTGCTTCTGGTCACCATCAGGCAGCCCAGGGAGATGGAGACTGGAAGAAGGGCTCTCCTTGAAGTGCAGCTGAGGAAAGTCCTGGTGTGCCTGCAGTCTTTCTAGGAATCTGAGGGCCACAGCTGCAGTGGGTGTTGGAGCACAGTCAGAGGAGGGGACATGGAGCTATGCATCCTTTATCCCCTGGAATCGGGGGGTCTGGGGGGAAGACATCGGGACCTTTGAGTTGTAAATATTTGAATTTGTTCTTGCTGCCTGAACATGGTCACTCTTTGCTGGCCAGACAGGCAAGTCCCCCAATTAGAGGACCTACCTCCACCTCCATGCAGGAAGACAGTGCATGCTGACCCCCGGACCATGTTGGGGACCTCTTTGTTTAGGTGCCACACGTTCACCCAGAGGGTACATGTGCTGAAATAAGGTCTGTGTACCAAAACAGTCTAGCCAGACGGGAAGTCCTTGAGGACCTGTCATCATCAGGGGGCTGGGGCAGCATCCAATGTGCTTGATGTCAAGCTCTGGCATGCAAGAAATGTGGAAGGTCCACTTCCAAAGGCCTGGCCCAGTTCTTTTTACATCCCCCTCGGAGAAAGGAGCAAACTCTTCACCTGTGAATGGTGGGGCAACCAGCGGGGCAGCAGGGGCTATGGGAAGATAAACAGCATATCTAGTCTGGGTTTCCAGCTCCAGACACCCTGTGGACCTCCCCTTCTTCCCTGCCCCAAGGTTAGCTCCTCCAAAGAACTGCAATGGAGCTCAACCAATAAAGCCAATGGCTTTTGCTGTGGTTAATTGTTGCTCATGACTATCAAATCAAACCCGACTCCTGGCAAACCCAGGTGTGCAAAGTATGACTGCTCTGTGGGGGTGTTGGGGGCAGAGGGAGAGACTTGGAATGGCATGCATTGATTATCTTACAGTCTGTGCCATTGAGTCGGTTCTGACTCATAGCAACCCTATACAGACTTTCCAAGAAGCAGCTGGTGAGTTTGAACTGCCAGCCTTGTGGTTAGCTGATCCACGCCATCAGTATTCTGGAATGCTGTGTTTACAGAAATTCCATTGTGTGCATGAACCTTTCTTCCACTGAGGGGTGTGTAGGGCGCTTCCATCTTTTTGCTCTTACAACGAACATCGTCGTGCCGGCTCTTACTTCTCTAGGATCTACACTGAGCAGTGAGAATGCTGGATTGTATGCTATTCTGTTTCTAGTGTTTTAAGGAAGTGCCGCACCGTTTTCCACTGTGGGGTACCACCTTGCATTTCCACTGAGGGAGGGCACAGCATCATTGGACTTCAAGGCCATGGTCTTTCAGAAGCAGAAACAGACCAGGTCTGTCTCCCAAAGTGCCGCAGGCTGGATTCCAACTACCAACCTCTCAGCTCGCGGGTAAGCACTTCCAAAGGAGCTTCAAAATGTTCATGGAAAAATGGAATTACAAGACAATGGAATATTTCCACAAAATTTTTGAATATACACATACACACACATGAATGAGGGGGCTTCAAAAATTACATTTTCCATGAACTTTCTGAATCCCCTTAGTGCATATTTAAAGTGTTCACGAGCAAAGATGTCAGTTTAAGGACTAAGGTACACCTGACCCAAGCCATAGTATTTTCAATAACCACATCTGCATGTGAAAGTTGGACAGTGAATAAGGAAGACCGTAGAAGAATTGATGCATTTGAGTTATGGTGTTGGAGGAGAATATTAAAGGTATCATGGACTGTTAAAAGAACAAACCAATCTGTACTGGAAGACATACAGCCAGAGTGCTATTTAGAAACCGAGATGGACAGATGTTGTCTTTCATACTTCAGACATATTATCAGGAGGGATTAGTCCCTAGAAAAGGACATCATGCTTGGTAAAGAGGTGGGTCAGCGAAAAAGAGGAAGACCCCCAACATGATAGATTGGTACAGTGGTAGCAGCAATGGGCTCAAGCACAGCAGTGATTGTGAGGTTTGCCCAGGATCCGTCAGTGTTTTGTTCTGTGTACATAGGGTTGCTATGAGTCGGAACTGACTCAATGGCACCTAACAACAACATATGTGTGTGTGTGTGTGTGTGTGTGTGTGTTCTACCAGGGATTCCTTTGGTTAGAATTAAGGTGGTTTAGGCTTTGGTATTGGTTTTTCTCAACCATAAACACACACACACCAATGTCACAATATCAAGCTGATATTCTGTCATCTCTTACACACTGAGTCTACACTAGTTCTATCCTCCACCTGGATCGATTGACCCCTCACTTCTGTGGCTCTTCTGAGATCGACGAGGACGGAAAATCAGAATATGTTCAGAATGGGGCATGGTGCTGTCAAGGCACCGTGTTGGGAAGACAGGGAAGGCGGACCTGGGGACACCTGCGCTCCATGCTTCTTCCCCTTCACCTCCTACCTTCCTGTTCAGCAGATTCAGCAACAGGAATGACCAAACCCTGCTATCAGACAAGGCACTCTGGGGGCGCAGGAGCCCTGAAAGACATGGCAGTCTGCTTCCTTAAAGATGACTGTCCTAGAAACCCAACAGGCAGCTCTGCTCTGCCCTAACGAGTTACTACTGTGAGTTGGGATCCATTCAATGGCAATGGGCTTGTGGGTTTTAACACAACAGGTCATTTCTGCTGGTGCAAATGTTCAAGCATGCTAATCTAAGGAGTCTGGTGGCACAATGGTTAAGCACTGGACTTCTAACCAAGAGGGTAGAGATCAGCTGGACAAAAGACATAGTGATCTGCTCCCCATAAAGATTGTTGTTGTTGTTAGGTGCCATCAAGTCAATACCAACCCATAGCATTCTTTGTCCAACAGAACAAAACACCCCTGAGTCCTGCACCATCCTCTGTAAAGGGTGGTGGTGGTGGTGTTAAGTACTGAGGAGTTGATTCAAACTTGTAGCGATGCTGTATAGGGTTTCCAAGGAGTGTTGGTGGGTTTGAACTGCCTACCTTGTGGTTCGCTGTCCAGTGCTGAACCTACAGTGCCACATCTTTACAGGGACTCCTCATAAATATGAACAGCCCCGGAAACACCATGTGGCAGCTGTGCTCTGTTCTATAAGGTGACAATGCCTCAGCGTCCACCAGACAGCACACAACTAGCCTAAAGGTTGGAGGTTTGACGCCCCCAGAAGCACAGTGAAAGAAAGATCTGGCGATCTGCTTCCAAACAGACGACAGTCAAGAAAACTCTGCAGAGGGGTTCTACTCTGTCACACGCAGGGTCACCATGAGTCCGAATTAACTGTACACCTAGGGCTAGTTTCTGGTAAAACAACAGCACCCCCTACAATTCCACCCTAATTTCTAAGAGGACTTCCTGGTGGTCAATTCCACCATCCCCAAGGCAGTAGAGGGGTGCTCCCAGTACCCAGGGCTAGGGCTTGCTCTAACAAATTTGTAGTATGCTAAGTCAGGAATATTTCAGGAAAGGGAATTTAGGGAAGTCATGGAAAGTAAGAAATGCAAGACCACCCAGGGGTGCACCTGGAGATGTTTATGTAGGGCAAGCAGGATGTGGTCAGCTCGGTTCCTGGGGTTTGAGAAGGAGCATTGTGACTCAGTGTGCAGGCTCCGAGGTCTAGAGGTGACTGAGGTCTGGGTGTGGACACGTGACAAATGGGGGGATAGGAGAGTGCTCTGAATCAGATGCTCGGGAAGAGGGGTGGACCGTCCCCCAGCTGGCATCTCAAAACTGGGTCACCAAAGCACTTTCAAATGATGATAGTACCGTGCACAGAGCTCAGAACCACGTCTGGGATGGATGGAGCCTTCCCACTCAATAGACCATCCGTTCTTGCCCAAGGAGATCCATGGTGTAGGGAAGAGGATGCTCAGAGGGGCGCCTTCCTCTCAGTTCACTTTCCTCCTGGTAGCAGAGCCAGGTAGGAGTTATTGGTACTTTCTAACAGGGAGAACTGCCCCACCTGGGATCCCAGGTATTCACAAAGGCCAGGTGGAGTCCGTGGCCATCTCCAAGGATGTTGGACAAGGGTTGTGGCCCAAAGCTGTGGCCATATCCCACCACCCATGGCCATGGAAAGCCTCGGGAATCCAGTGCGGGTGAGCAGAGCCAGCCCTGAGAATGGAGCACCCCCTTTTCCTTGTCCCAGTAAGTAGACTTCCCATCTCAGGAAAACGAATAACATCAAAGAATCAGGGAAACGGGTTATTGTTACCATTAAGGACTACATCCAGTGCCCCCCTCTGAGTCGAAGCTGGGTCTTCACCGGAAGGTCCCTGTCCCCAGGCCTCAACCACCCTTCCTCCACCACCAGGGAGCAAAACTCCACCCCCCCACCCCCCACACACACCATGTGCCCTGAGAGTGCAGTGGCCTTCAACCTCCAGGCAGGCTGGCAGATGCATCACCTGCAAATAGGTAATTAACGGTTGGTCTTTCACAACTTCTCAGCATGGGTCCCAGGAAGGAAGTGGTATGTGCAAAGGGTCCCCTCCACAGCTCATTACAGCCCTGGTATCGATTCTAACATCATTATCACAAGGTATCCCTGCCAAGCAAAATTCTGTCCCTTGATGTGTATTCACTGGGGACTTGCTTTCCCCCAATTCCACCGGCGTTCTGCGCTGCTAACAACCTTCTATGGGCCTTTTGAAAGCTCCAAAGTTTTCAGAGAAGTGAAACAGTACCTGCTCCATTTTATCCCTCAAGAAAGAACAGCCCTATACACACACAGCATACCCGGAAAAGGCGCCAAGCAACAAGCCAGGATGAGCCGATTGTTGTCCCCCACATCAAAGTAGGTTTCTGAAACACAGCTGCTGTGGAGCGGGGAAACTTTCTCGGGGCCTTGTCTGGAACAAACTTGGGGATGTGGGTCAGTGTTCTGTCTGTGGTCTTAATTCTAGAAAAGCCAGTGAATATCTGTCCTTCCTCCCTTCAGCTACCCTTAATTCAGAGTCTCACTTAAATTCTCCTCAGGTCCTGCTGTTGGTTCAAAGTTCAACTCCTTGATTCTTTCCCTAATTCCTCAACCACCCCCATATTAGGGAGACCCTGTGTCTCACACTCCCCATACTCCCCACCTCTCTACTATTTCTCCTTTGTATTTCTTCTCTCCCTCTCTTCTCTTCTTGTCTCCATCTCTCTGTTCCTTTCTCTATCTATCTTTGTCTGGGAGACATGTCTCTCTCTTTCTCCCATCTTTCTACACATCCATTTCTCTTTCTGTTACTCTTGCTCTCTCTGACTGTCTCCTCACATCTAAATCTCTCTCTGTCATACTAGATGGATCTTTCTATCTCTTTTCTTTTTTCTGTATATATTCTCTCAGTTTCTTTATCTCTTTATCACTTTCTCTCCTCTCTTCTCTTGATAGATAGATAGATAGATAGATAGATAGATAGATAGATAGATAGATAGATAGATAGATAGATAGATATCTTGGTGTGGCGCTGTGGTTGATTAATGCACTGGACTGCAAAGTTAGATCTGCAAGGTTGGTTCAAGCTCACCAGCCACTCCTCGGAAATGCTGTTGGTTGGAACCGACACAATGGCACTTAACAACAGTATATATATCTATAAATATACGTGTGTGTGTGTGTGTGTGTGTATACACAGAGAGAGAATGGGTCCTGATGTGGTTCTATAGGATAAGCACTGGACCACAAGGTCAGTTTGAACCACAAGGTCAGTGGTTCAAACACTCACCAGCCACTGCCTCAGAAACCCACCTTGAGGTCAAGTGCTTACCTTACGGCGCCACATTTATATGTGCGTGTATAAGCATTGGAACACAAGGTCGGTTTGAGCCAAAAGATCAGCGGTTCAAATTCACCAGCCACTCCTCAGAAACCCTATACAGAGTTGCCTCTGAGTCGGAACTTAACATATACATATGTATACACATGTGTGTGTATATTGCTGTTATTGTTGTTGCTAAGTGCCATCAAGTCAGTTCCGACTCATGTTTCTGTTGTTAGGTGTCATTGAGTCCGTACCAACTTATAGAGACCTTATGAACAACAGAATGAAATACTGCCCCGTCCTGTGCCAACCTCACAATTATTGCTGACAATCTGAGTTGGAAGAAGTACAACCAAAATGTTCCTTAGAAGCCAAAATGGCCAGAATTCACCTCTTATACTTTGGACACATTATCAGGAAGGACCAGCCCCTGGAGAAAGGACATCTTACTTGGTAAAGTAGATGGACAGCAAAAAAAGAGGAAGACCCCCACATCTAGATGGATTGTCACA